GATGTTTGCTTTTTTTGCAAGTGTTACACTGTTGATTGTTCAGCTCTGCCTGTGGACACTAGTGTAGACTCATCTTAGAAGGGCTCAGGTGTGTTCACCATCTTGTCATCTACCCAGGCTCTGGATTTTTCAAACCCATAATTTCCAATCCACTCTGATCAGGGTTAAACACAGTGATAAAAATTCTAAAGTCTTGTCCATACTACAGCTACTACTGGTGGAGTTACAACTGCTGGGAATTACTGGTCTGAAAAAGAACCTAGAGTAAACATTTTGTAGTGTGGGTGTCGCTTAAACTTATATTTTGATGTGTTATTAATGTTAACTGTGTAAAGTGCGAACAAAGAAATTTGGGGGGTAAATGCCAAGGGGGCAGGCAGCATGGGGGGTGGCAAGTTTTGGAGTGAATGCAAAGGGGCGGTTGGCAGCAATGGGAGTGGTGAGGTTTGGGGAGTGAATGCAAAGGGCACAAGCAGCACCAGCAATGAGGACTGGTTTGGAGTGAATGCAACGGTGGCAGGCAGGTAGCACTGGGGGTGGGGCGGTTTGGGAGTGAATGCGAAAGGGGCAGGAAGATTTAGGAAGAATGCAAAGGGGGCAGACTGCACTGGCAGTGGGGAAGGTGGGGGGTGAATTCAAAGGGGGTGGGGAAGTTTGGGGGAGTGAATGCAAAGGGGGCAGGCAGCACTAAGCGTGGGGCAGTTTGGGGGTGAATTAGGGTGACCAGAGAGCAAATGTGAAAAATCGGGACGGGGGTGGGGGGGTAATAGGAGCCTATAAAAGAAAAAGACCCCAAAATCAGGACTGTCCCTATAAAATTGGGACATCTGGTCACCCTAGGGTGAATGTAAAGGGGGCATGGAGATTTGGGATGAATGAAAAGGGGGCAGGCAGCACTAGGAAGGTGGGGAAGTTTGGGGGTGAATGCAAAGGCAGAAGGGATGATGGAGGGGGTGAATGCAAAAGGGAAAGGCATAAGAACATAAGAATGGCCATACTCGGTCACCAGTATCCTGTCTTCGGACAGTCACCAATGCCAGGTGCTTCAAAAGGAATGAACAGAATAGGCAATTTTCAAATGATCCACTCCCTGTTGTTCAGTCCAAACTTCTGGCAATCTAAAGCTAGGGGCACCCAGACCATGGGGTTGCATCCCCGAATATCATAGCTTATAACTGTTGATGGACCTATCCTCCATGAATTTATCTAATTCTTTTTTGAACCCAGTTATAGTTTTGGCCTTCTCAACATCCCCTGGCAATGAGTTCCGCAGCTTGACTGTGCATTGTGTGAAGAAGTACTTCCTTTTGTTTGTTTTAAACCTTCTGCCTATTAATTTCATTGGCTGACCCCTGGTTCTTGTGTTATGTGAAGGAGTAAACACTTCCTTATTCACGTTCTTCCCCCCATTCATGATATTATAGCCTTTATAACCGCCCCCCCCCATCTCTTTTCTAAGCTGAAAAGTCCTAGTCTTTTTAATCTTGATTCATGGTACCTGTTCCATACCCTTAATCATTTTTGTTGCCCTTCTCTGTACCTTTTCCAATTTTAATATATCTTTTTTGAGATGGGACAACCAGAACTGAACACAGTATTCAATCTGAGGACAAGCCATGGATTTATAAAGTGGCACTGTGATATTTACTGTCTGATTATCTTAGGGTTACCACATGTCCGGATTTTCCTGGACATGTCCGGCTTTTTGGTCCTCAAATCCCCATCCTGGGGGAATTGCCAAAGAGCCGAACGTGTCCGGGAAAATGCTTTGCCGGCATCCCTGTCCCCTGCTTACCTTAGAGCAGCTCCGGCGCCGGCGGCTGCTGCTGCTCCCCCCAGACACCTCAGCTCTGCGTAGCTGAGCCGAGCTGTCCGAGCGCTACCAGGTTCACAGTTTGCTGGGCAGCCCCCAGACCTCGCACCCCCGGCCGGGCGCTTCCCCAGCGCAGCCGGAGCGTGGGAGGGGAAGCACCCGGCCGGGGGCACAGGGTCTGGAGGTCTGGGGGCTGCCCGGCAAACCGTGAAGCCAGTAGCGCTCGGGCAGCTGTTTCGCGTGGCTGGGAGGAGGAGGATGAATGCGGGACGCTCAGGGGAGGGGACGGACTTGGGGCGGGGACTTTGGGGAAGGGGTTGGAATGGGGGCGGAGTTGGGGCGGGGCCGGGGCGGAGTTGGGACGGGGC